TAACAATGATGAGAATAACAACACTGAAATAATACTAATTACAACAGGAATGATAGTAAAAACAATAACAATAATAATAACAACAATAAGAAAAACAATAATGATAATGATATAAATAGTACTACCACTACCACTGATACTATTCCTACCACTACTAAAGTAATAATAGTAATGATGATAATAATAATCATGACAATAATGACACTAATAATCATTATAGGGTTGATGATGTTGTGGTGGTGATTGATGATGATGATAATAACAATAATGATGATGAATAATGATAATAATAAGAAGAAACACAATCATAATAAAGAATTTATGTATATATCATAGAAATAATATCAATAATAATAATAGTAATAATAATGATAATAATAATAGTAATATCATGTTAGCAATAATGATAATAATAATGATAATAATAATAATATAATAATTATTGATAGTGCTAATGATAATAACAATAACAATGAAAAAACAATTGATAATGATGATGGTAAATTAATTGATAATGATAATAACAATAATGATAGTAAAATTATAAATACCGTGATAATGTTAACAACAACAATGAAAATAATAAATAATAATGATAATAACAATAATAAGGAACTGGTAATATGCAGTCAATTAATTCATAATTATATATTTAATATTCTTTCTCCTTGACATGTTATAGCATTTGACAGCCTAAATGTTATGCCCGTTACCATTAATATCAAACATAAATATATTATCAAATTGTACATATATATACATCATACTGAACATTTATAAAATATATGTTTGTAAATGATTGTTTGTTCGTGTGTGAGTCTGAGTGTGTGTGTGTGTGTGTGTGTGTGTGTGTGTGTGTGTGTGTGTGTGTGTGTGTGTGTGTGTGTGTGTGTGTGTGTGTGTGTGTGTGTGTGTGTGTGCGTGTGTGTGTGTGTCTATCTAGTGTTCATCTGTGCCTTCTGATGTAATTTCATACAATGTAGACATGTGGTTGTGTACACCATGTATGCTGTCAGACTTACACACTGTAAAATGAGTAATGTACAATTATGCAGAAGCAATAAAGAAACACCAAAGTTATTCTTGATTGACAATAGCACCAACAAAAGTCTGGAAATAAGTGCACACAGCACATACGGACATCTCTCTCGTAATACGAATATACAACCATATTTTCTTTGGTTTGCAGAAAAATAAGCATATTGAAACTGAATCACATAAGTTTATACATACATATATATATATATATATATATATATATATATATATATATATATATATATATATATATATATATATATATATATATGGGGGGTATTTGCGTGCGTACACATTCATTCACACATATATAGGTAAAACACGTCACATGAAGCACATTGGCCTCTACCGCACTGCCGCTTCCTTCCGCTCTCGATACGTGGACTCGAAGTACTTGAGGCTGATCTTCGAGGCGCTCTTCTCCCTGCAGAAGGGGCAGGTCAGCATTCGAACCCCGTAGATGATGGGGCCGTGGTACACTTTCCCGGTGAACACGGGTTCGATCCCCCGCTCTTCGCCTACCTGGTGAATCCGCAGGTGCCTGTACACCCGGTGGTAGTAGAACCCCGTGATGCTCACCGACGGTAGAAAAAGGCGTACGATTAAGAAGAGCAGATGTAGCAGCCTGAGGAGGAATAAGGGCATGCACTTCGCCCATCTCGAGTACTTGAACATGCAGCGAAATCTCGGCTCCTTGAATTTCGGTTCCTGCGCGTCGAAGATGGCTTCTCCGAGGATAAGCTCCTTCCAGGTGCTGATGTATATCTCTCTTCTCTTTTCCTTCGGTTTCCTTACCGAGGGAGAGGACGGCCTTCCGCGGGGGTCCTCCACCGGCCTGTCCCTACATATGACATCGCTCGGAGGCGACGCCACAGTAGGACACGCTGGGTCGTTGCAGAGGCAGCCCTGGTTGGCGGGGACGTGGAGCACTCGACTCACGCCCTGATGGAGCCGCGGGTCGAGGGCCAAGGCGTCCACCTCCACGTGGAGCGCCCGGCGACTGAGGGCGGTCTCGAGCAAGGCCCTGGTCTGGAGGTCCTCCTCGCGACCCGACAGAGCGCGGTCGACCCGGAACCGCTTCCTCTTCGAGTAACTGAGCCTCGGGGCCTCGCGGAGGGCAACCCCAACGCCCGGCCCCTCGAACACGTCCCTCCTTCTCGCCGGGGAGGGGGAGGACGCGTCGGGGCCGGCGGGGGGCCTGCGGATGACGTGGATCTGGCAGAAGGCCTCCTCGCCCGACTCGTGGCACCGCGAGGGGAGGGCGCGCGGGGCCTCGCCCTCCAGCCTCTGCTCCAGCCGCGCCAGGGGGTAGCCCTCCTCGTCCATGGCAGGGGCAGCGGGTGGCTCTGCCTGCAAAAGGGAAGGAGGTCAGTGCCTAAAACAAAGGAGAGAGAGAAAGAGAGTGAGAGAGAGAGGAGAGAGAGAGAGAGGGGAGGGGAAGGAGGGAGAGAGACAGAAAGAGAGAAGGGAGAGAGAGAGGGAGAGATGAGGAGAAGTAAGAGAATGAGGAGAAAGTAAAAGGGAAATAAATAGAAGAGAAAAAAACAGTTCGTGTAAATGCTCTACCTCCCTTCCATAAACAATAACATTTATCCTTGCCCTTTTTAACTTCTAATTTCCCTAATGAACACGACTCCTTTTAAACAACCAAGAACAGATACAAAAAAGAAAAAAATAATAAATATCCATCAATATTTGTATTTTCTTTTTTTTTTTTTTTTTTTCATCTTAAACATTTCTACACCTCCATATACTATAGACTACCTCACTTTAAGGAGTCCGTCGCCGTAGATTTTTGACGAATATTCTAAATATCTTAAGACAATAAACAACAATATCACAAGATAAACCTCCGCAGAGTCAACGAAAATTCTCCATACAGCTAACCAAAACACGACTCACGAAAGAACAGAACGAAAGACGAACTTGCGTGAGACGGAGCGACACCACGACTGGTCATCTGGTTCATGTGAAAATCGTACAATGACTGCGGTGGTGCCAAATCTCAGCGGATAATTAGTTATATCTTAACTTCTCGTCCACGTAGAAAAAGGGATTCATTCTTATACTTACTATAGACAAAATATTCGATTATAAATAAGCACAACAAGAGAGGTGAAGAAAAGATGTGAGTAAATAAGAGAAAATGACAAGAAGAATTCCAACGTGTAATTTCCCGCCATATCGCGTGACGTCATGATGACGTCAGCCTGAAATTTGGGTGAAGCGAAGAATTCTGCTTATTTGGACTCTTTTATATAAATCTTACATTCATCTAAAATAAATTCCAAATGCAGATTTTATACCAGCTCTTCCTGTGGGATATTACCATTCCAAATGCCGAGTTAAAATTATTTAAATATTCGCAGATTTTTTTCGTGCCTACAGTGCCTGGTAGTATTATTACCAGGATAGTTCAAGTATGGGACGCCGGGTTAAACTTTTAGTGACCTGTGATATTTATACTCACAAACAGACACATAACTGTGTATGTATACATACATGTATGCATACATACATCATACATACACATATACATACATATGTGTGTGTGTGTGTGTGTATGTGTGTGTGTGTGTATGTGTGTGTGTGTGTGTGTGTGTGTGTGTGTGTGTGTGTGTGTTGTGTGTGTGTGTGTGTGTGTGTGTGTGTGTTGTGTGTGTGTGTGTGTGTGTGTTTGTGTGTGTGTGTGTGTGTGTGTGTGTGTGTGTGTGTGTGTGTGTGTGTGTGTGTGTGTGTGTGTGTGTGTGTGTGTGTGTGTGCGTGCGTGCGTGCGTGCGTGCGTGTGTGTGTATGAATTTGAGTGTGAGTGTGAGTGTACATATGGTACACATACAAATTGCAGAAGGGTAAGTTAGACTATCCTTATCAAGCTGATATTTCGCCATCCTCTGTCACTCACATTTATACACCTTTACGTTGTTCAAAGGACTTACTACTGAACATGAAACAATTAGCGAAATCCTTGCGTTCAGTACTCACCTGTCAGAAGGCTGAACAGTCCCAAGTGAACGTAACAGCTGACAGTCGTACTGTAAACAAATCAAAGAATAAATTACTGAGCTTTTAAAATGAATGAACAGAAATACACAAATAAAACAAAAGCATGTATATGCACACACACACATAGATAGACACACACATATACACATATGCATATATATATATAATATATATATATATATATATAATATGTATGTGTGTGTGTGTGTGTGTGTGTGTGTGTGTGTGTGTGTGTGTGTGTGTGTTGTGTATGTGTATGTGTATGTGTATGTGTATGTGTATGTGTGTGTGTGTGTGTGTGTGTGTGTGTGTGTGTGTGTGTGTGTGTGTATGTATATATATATAATATATATATATATATATATATATATATATATATATATATATATATATATATATATATATATACGTATGTATAATATATATATATATATATATATATATATATATATATATACATACATATACACACATACATAAGAGCATTATGAGCATTACACAAAGCCAACAAAAAGTACTGTCCTTGTGTTATAAACAAAGGCGGCTGAACCTCCTCGAATCAACGTTTCCTGTTCAACGGTGAACGTACCGGAACGTTCACTTGTCCGTTAGCCTACGTGTTCACTGTTAGGTGCCACGTGAACGGAGAGGATACTGTCACGTCTACTCTGAAACAGTGTCAACTCGAACTGAGACGAAGCACAAATATCTACGTTGGTGCATTTCAAGCAGACATTTTCTTCATAATGTCTGCCTTTTTATTACGTTTATTTCCTTTATATGACTTGAACGTAATGATAAATTCAAGGACAACTCACCAAAGAAACTACAAAGCAACATCTGCGCTGTTTTTTTCCTTACAGTATAGAGCACTGAGTTTTTAAACCTACTTGTCTAACAACCTAGTTATCTCTTGAACCAGCTCTTTGTTTCTCTCTTATTCTTATTTCCATTATACA